AAAGAAAAGTAATAATTTTTTAAACACTATTTATATTAAAAATAACTTTTAAAACTTTAATCAATGTATATACAGAGTATCCAATTTTGATCTATAAATGCGAGGTTCTAGTAAGTTATCTGTTGTATAAAAATTAGTTCAAATAGGAAATGAATAAATTTGAGAAAGCTGTACTTTGATATTTTTAATAATTTGTTTCTCTTTCACAGTTGTTTAAAGGTTATATAATCTTTAATCTAAATGGAATCGTACTAAGTTTATTATTTCCTACAATGTAGTATTAAGCTAGTATTAGGAGATATTTTCATTTTAATATTGCTTTATCAAAGTAGTATCACTTTATGTCATTTCAAAGTAATAGATACTATCTGTACTATCACCTCTTTGCAATTTTTGAGATTAAAATATCTCCTATGTGTGTATATAAATTCATGATTCTTCAGCATAAATAACTTAATATAATTTTGTAGGAAATAACGACCTGCATTGATTAGTTTATTAAAAATTACGCAGTTCTATCTAAAAAAACGAATTATTATATACACGGGCAATTTATTAGTAATTCGAATTTATAGATAAAAATTTGATATTTTGTATATATGTTACTTTAGTAATGCAACATTTCTTCTATTAAAAATCCGATTCTCTTGCAAGCCCTAATAAAAATATATTAATTAACAAGACAATATTCCAAGAATTCACGGTACAATTGTATTGATTTTAATAATATATTGGATACAAAATGTTCCATTTTAATCTTTGACGCAATTATCTTTCGAACTATTTGTTATTATAAGAAAGATTATGTTATCAAAAAAAATTTGTTTTATTTCAAAGGAGACATATTGTTGCTAGTTACAAATGTTATTTAGATGGACATACTACAGAGGCTTCAAGGTGATCTTGATTTTTTCAAAGCGAACTGTTTGTTTTCATTTAAATAGGTATGTATCCTAATCCGAGACAAATTCATTGATCTGTAATATGATTATCTTTGAAGGTCATTCAGGGTTGTTTAGTACCGTCCAAACTTTAATTTTATTGAATATTCCTAAGATATCTTGTACCGGAATATTTCGCTGGTCGATTGCAAACTTTATTCAAAATGTGCAACACATGTTACCCAATCGTTAGATCGGAAGAAGAAACAGGACATCCTTCTCAACAAGATTTCCGGATTTAACACCTTTGGACTTTTTCTCGTGAGGCTTTAAAAAATTGAATTTACCAGAATTAATCCGCTACACCTGATAACTTGAAGGACCAAATTGGAAGTGCCTGCCAATAATCAGTTATGCAACTTTCGTGAGGGTGGTAATTTAGAGATAGAATTAATTATGTGTTGACGTCCAAGCTCAACCTGTCAAATCTAAAGAATAAGGAACAATGTTTAAATATTTAACAAAGGTAAGTTCTGAACAACAATAAATGACCTTGAATGACCTTCAAAGATAATCTTATTCTAGGTCAATGAATTTGTCTCGGATGGGTTACACATCTACATCTAAATGAAAAAATATGGTTTTTTTTTTAAAGAAACCAAAGTCACTTTGAAATTTCTGAAGTACGATCCATCTAAATAAGATTTGTGACTAACAAAAGATGACCCTCTCAAAACACAGTAAGTTTTACTTGAAACATGTTTTACAATAAATCAAAAGATAAATGCGTGGAAAATTTTAAATCAAATGTCTTGTATATTAAAGTGCAAAATTTGCTTCAAAAGTGTCTCTATGAAATTCTGTTGTTCTTAACATACTGAGTCTCTGAGCATGTAGTATGAATAGATAAATCTGTATGATCAGTTAAAAAAGTTAAAATAAAAAATCTTTTTTAACTATTGTTTTGAGATTATAATGGATTTATAATTAACAATATTTCATGCTGCCTTTGATAGCCATGTACGGTAAGTTTATTGCTATATTTTTTTGTTTTAAACAGTTCACTAATTCTTTGCAGATAAAAACTTTTCTAAACGAGGAAAGACATGAAATATAGAAATTCCAATATTTAAATATTAGCAAGCAGAAATTATGTTTTATTTTATCATTTATATGCTCTTACATAAGTTTCCACTATAATTTATTTGTACACTCATAAAAAAATTTGTGTACTACAATAAGACGAACTCTCAGTTTAATGAAACAAAGGCATCCAACTTTCAATTTCACTAATAAATAGTTTCTATACATATTACCGTCGTTCGCCCTTGGTTCCCGAGATATTTATAAAAATATGTATACTTCATACTTTTTAAATAGTACACCTCACGGATTTCAATGATTTCTGAATTTCTAGCTTTATATTCGAGAGTGTGAGTGCACTTCAGTAGACGATATTTTTATGTTACAAAAATTTGTTTCATTAAGACATTTCGTTAAGAATTATTTATTTAACCCAAAGAAGCGACGTATCATTGAATGGTAAATTTATCCAAATAGTCATTTATTGATGTCTGTTTTTAAAATTTATAAAGATGACTGTCATGTAGATAGCAAAAAGGAGTATTTGTGAGGCTGGTTTTTCCGAGTTTGGCGTGGAAATTTTTTACGTCATAATTACCAAAAATTCTTCTAGTCTAAATCCATCGGTTTTTCGTGAATATCTCGTAAACTAAAAGAGTTTTTATAAAAGGAAAAATTTATTCAAAATATCGATTTCCCCAATATATTTAAAAATCATGAAAATCGGTAGGAAAGCCCCTTTCCTAAATAACTGTCAGTCAAAATTATAAGTAATGTAACAATTTACGTTTGGTCATCGATTATTTTAAGACAAAAAAATTATATATCTTACACTTTTTGATTTTTTAGTTTTTGAGTTTTCGAATTTTATTCATTAAGGGTATTATAGTACTACAGTGGGTTCACAATGTTCGAACTTATTTCAAGGGTGAAATGTATACGAACCTTGTATCACTCGAGCTATACCCTGTTTGTTTCGGCTCGAACTTAATTTAAATTCAAATGTCACGAAACTTGTCAGTAGCTATAAGGTCACGAACCTTATAATAAGTGCAAGGGTCACATAGAGAAAATGTCGACCATAAATATAGATATTGTAAATATTATATACAGAGACGCGATATTAACTTATATCGCTTTTACATGAAGAGATTCTTTCATTATGAATGAATCATATATTAATAGTCAATACTGATAAATAAATAAATTATGGACATATCGCTTTTATAAAATAAAAAAATCAACTCTTTTATATTATTTGATTTTTATGCAATCTTTCTGAAATATCGTCATGTAAAAATTCTCGGAAAATTCCAAGTATTGATAAAATTATAGTGGCTTAAATTTAGAGATATTTGTTATACAAAATATATTAAGCGTAACTGGAAAAGTTCCATTGTTATTATTATGGAAATTACATTCAAAACTTCAAACACAATTTTCAAACACAAGTTTTTCAATCACTAGACAAAGAAATAAAAAAATAGAACATTAATCGATTAATAGACTTTACATTTTGAAAGCTAATTTAATGTTCGTTTTTTGTTTAACATTTACAAATAAAATATTCTATGGTGTCAGGAAAAGATAGAACAAATTTTGGAATGAAATAAGTTTACAGCCATTAGCGCTGTATTATTCTCAATGTACAATACTTTACCCAAGATAATGTCAATTGACTGACTAATTTTACAAAATACTAAATATTTTTTAAATTATTTTCATTCAAAATAGTGTTCATATAACATTGTCTATAAGGAGAATTGTTTTCACAAAGGGCTAAGTGGAAAAGTTCCAGAATAAGTTTGGAATGAAATCAAACAAGTAAAACTGTAAAACATCAAACTGAGAGTTTAGGTGTAATTATGAAACAATGGTACTTTCCCATATTTAAAAGAAAAACACATTCCGTCCTATGAAACTAGTTTAGTACATAATACTAAAAATGAATGAGAATCAAACAAATTAAGAGAATAGGCGAACTGATTTGGAAGTAATCAATTAATTCAGAAGCTATTATTACATTCCATTGTATGCAAAAGTCGTGAAATGTATTTAAGAATTTTTATGTACTTATCATGAAAATTCTTATCAGTGGATAGCTCTCAATATGAAAATAAAACACTACTTGAATATGTATGTAGACACACTGATATAATGGGACAAATGGCAAAGCATGTGTATAACATTGCACGGAATACAAATTTTTATTTATTTATAC